ATCACTAGATAGTGATCCGTTCCCAGGTCAGCACCCCTGAACACTCGCGTATCCATCACCTGTTTTCGCAGTCGGTCATCCACCAGGAACAAATCGATCATACTTCTCTCATTCTTTCGTTCTCTAGTATACATATGGATTTTCTTGTGATTAAACATAGTGTTTGTCATAAGAAGACCCCTTTCCTTGCACACCGCCAGTATAATTCAAAATGATGTCATTTAATTCAATTGTATTTTTATTATTTTCCAATGTATTAATGTTAATGTCTCCAACAATGATAATTCTTTTATTAAGATTATTTATTAATTTTGACAATAAGTTTTGTAGTTTAAAGAAGAATATGTTCACATTCGAACTAGGTGTCCTATAGATGCATATTACGTAAATATTATGTAAAGGAATTTCTATTCCACAGTTACGTTTGGCCTAATCGTGATATAATTAAAATTAAAAAGTTATTTGAACAACTTATTGAAAAATTGAGCTATGAAAACCTCTATGGCATTCGGTATTAAGACTCAAAATTAATATAATAAATATCCACTCACTTGAGTCTCTTGTAATGTTTGTTGTTATACTGAGTCACTTTAAAGATCGACAAATAAACTTAAGGTAATTAATGCTTCATGGCGCAGTGGCTTAGCAATAAGCTGATGCGCTCTCGAATTCTGCACGGAACAAGTATTTGCATGGCCTACAAATAATTGTTCCAGGTCTGGATGTTTGTCCTCGTGCAATTTATGTTTGAAAACTGCATCCACGACACAGGAGAAAATCCTAATGTGGGGGTAGCGTTTAAAATAATCTTAAAAGCTAAGATGCATTTTTTTAAAACAATCGTGTATTACTTTGGAAAACCCATTATATTAAAGTCTGGCAATTCGCGCCGGCTTCGCACGGGTGATGTCTGAATCTCAAAAATAGCGCCGTTTACCCGGTTCGATTGTAAATCTAAACCATCTAGGAGCCCATTCAAATACACACAAAAAATTTGACCAAAATCGGTCGAACCGTTTTTTTAGTTTTAGCGAGACTAACGGACAAAAATTGACTTTTATATATTATAGAGATGTGAAATATATTTTTATTTATTTCCGCTTACTACAGCCTGTTAAAAGTCCACTGCTGAACTAGCTAGGCCTCTCCCTCCATCCCTTTAGAGGAAATATTTCCTCTAAAGGGATGGAGGGGGTATTTCCCATAGCTCCCACGCTTGGCACGTCGGCAACTGTAGATTTTTTTTTAGATTTTATCGAGAAGATGCCTATGCCCATCTCCTTTTTTATTTTCCTCTGTCCCCTCTTATTACATCCATGACATGATATGGGCTAGTGGATATTCTTACACCGTCTCTGCACAACTAAACAGTTAATCAATTTGAAGACTACTTTCTCAGTGATTATTTTAGAAGCAAAATACGTGTCGTTTTATCGACGGTGGTGTGTGTTCCTAGTGTATTTCAAATGGCAGTATTGCAATTGTGCACGCCACTTCATCGCTAACGAATGCCACTTAATTTGAGAACGATCTGTATACACGAAAAATATATATACACGTCGTAATACATTAAAGAAGAATATTAAGTTAACCTTTTTTTGTAGGTTTTTGGGCCTTTGAAGAACCGGTTTAGGTTATCAATTTTTAGGGTTCCGTAGACAAATGGTAAAAAACGAGACCCTTATGGATTCGTCATGTCTGTCTGTCTGTCTGTCCATCCGTATGTCACAGCCACTTTTTTCCGAAACTATAAGAACTATGCTGTTGAAACTTGGTAAGTAGATGTATTCTGTGAACCGCATTAAGATTTTTACACAAAAATTGAAAAACCAATAAATTTTGGGGTTTCCCCATACTTAAAACTGAAACTCAATAACTTTTTTTCCATCAAACCCATACATGAAGGGTATTTGTGGATAGGTCTTCAAAAATGATGTTGAGGTTTCTTATATCATTTTTTACTTAACCGAATAGTTTACGCGAGAGACACTTCCTAAGTGGTAAAATGTATGTCACCCTCCTGTAACTTCTAAAACAAGAGAATGATAAAACTCAAAAATAAAAATATGATGTACATTACCATGTAAACTTCCACCGAAAATTAGTTTAAACGAGATCTAGTAAGAAGTTTTTTTAAACGTCATAAATCGTAAATTAATTTATTTGCTGCTACGGAATCCTTTATTGGCGAGTCTGACTCGCACTTGGCCGTTTATTTTTATAAAAGTTATTGTGTGACAAAGCAGAAAGTTCACCTGATTGTTAGTAGAGTACCCTTTGGGTTTCGATCTATAATATAAAATTAATTGTTTCTTTGTTTGTCCCGTATGCATTCTTATACAATTCATCCGATCACAAAGAAACTTAATATTTGTTTATCCTTTACTTTGCCTAAGTACGTACGTAGGCTTTTCAAATTATTTAAGATAAACCGTTTTATTTCTACACGGATAATTTCTAATTCATTCTCATGTTCGTGATGACAGCTATTTTAACGAGATCGTTAGATTAATACGCCTATAAAACTCTTCCTTCAATTATTAGTTTTATTTGTAGTCAGCAATCTGTCACAATTTGTCCAGTGCGAGACTGCCGTGATAAATGATTGAAAGTGCCAAACACGTTCAGCTGTTTTCATATTCAATAGAATTCAATAGAATTTCGGAACAAAGAATTTGCTAGCTCATGTTGATTTCAAATAGAAAACTTCACGCTAATTTTTTGGCTTCCGCTATCATAGAAGAAATCTTAATAGGTTTTTCTGTCCATTATTCCTGGAATTTTTGTCCAATTTATGGCTAAAATTTAGAGATAATTCTTTTGATATGGAAAGGTATATTACGATATTATGTGACATTGTGTGACTTTAACTCTCCGAAAGGAATGACGCTTCCAACGATAGCTAATTCGAAATACGTGAATATACGACAAGTAGTAAGGAGATCCAAGGGAACGGATGAAAAAACACATATGTACATACTGTAACACCCCTCCCCCTCTCTCTTTCTTTTGTAAAAATATATAATATTTACATGACCAGTATATTAGTTTATTGGTTTAGTATATTGGTTTACATCAGTCTATTCCTTATTAATTTATCCCTTCACGCTTGGAAAAGGCTCACAATATTCATATTAAATACCAGATACTAGGGTTTCGCTCTCCTACATTTAAAAAGAACTGTGGGGGAGACACACGACTCCACATATGCCGTGTGCGGTGAGCGCCAAAACCAATGCGCTCTCCCCGAAGGGGACATTAAGTTGGGAACTGGACCGCATTCCACAGCAAAATAACTGGCGAACCAGTTAAAGAGGACCTGGCTCCTTGGTGTTGCGTAACCGAAGTCGCACATATCAATGCGTGTAAACGTCATACAGAATACGATCAAATCCAGCCACAGTGAATGTACGTCACACGGGTTAGGCAACAATAGGCATACTGGCATCGATCACTAATAAAAAACTAGATGCACAATTCCATACAAAAGTTCTCTAAAAACTGTCGCCAAATGTTTTGACGTAATTCTAGTTGATATAAATATACATTAATGTAAATTCAACCTTAAATGCATTGCATAAAGTTGTATTAACAAAGCTACGTGCAAAAAGTAATAAAATGTTACGACCGAGGCTCGTCGCTTGGACAAGGATATTAGAGTTGAACTGCAAAATATTTTTTATTACTGTAATTTTAATTTTATAAGTTTGTTAAATTTGTTTTAAATAATTGGTCTACTTAATAAAGAATATTCTATTCTATTTTATGGTGTATATGTGTAATGGTTATATTATTACCTGAATGTAAATATGCTTTTGGATAGGGCACTACATTCATTTAGTAATGAAAGTAATTGAAACAGTCATAATTATATATTTATTCTTTATCTTGTGTGAAAAAATTAAAGATACTGCTTGACAAACAACTAAAATCTAAATATAATAGTAACTAAATATAAAAAATAAGTACAGAAATATCTTGCAAAATCTAAGAATATTATTGTCCAAATTTTTGATGTTATTTTCATATTTACAGATGTTTAAAAAACGGATAAGACTGAATAATTATAATGATTTCTTATATTTACGCGTTCATTACACATTTAAGTAAAACTAGTTTTACGGACTTTATCGCGTATATTAACTTATTTTATATTCCCGACGTTTCGAGTACTATAATATTTAGAGAAATATTAAAGAACTCTCATTAAACAGAAAAAAGACCATGATACTTTAAAAATAATAAAAAAATAAAAAAAACAATAGCGTCTCCACAAATGGAACAGAATCAACGCATATACCTCGAACAATGACGACTCATTTTATTAGGACTTAATTTAAAAAATACTTTTACGATGATTTCTTGACAAAATATCAGTGTTTAAAATACAGTGATAAAAATTAAATAATGTTAATATTAATAGTTATCGAAAATATGAAAATCAATCCTTTTTTAACGTCCTGGATGTGTGATTTTTACACTTTTTAAACGAGCACTGACGCATGTTTACCGTTGGAGCATTCGAATGCTACTAGATTAAAAGTGCACCCATATGTTCGAGTGGGTGCACATTCGGTTACGCCATTTTTTGTCACTGATTGTGTATCTAGTTTTTTATTACTGATCGATGCATACTTGCCATAAAAAGCCTTCCGTGAGCACCACCACCTGCCAGACCATCGTTCTTGCAGACGTGATGTAAGTGTAAGTGAGAAGTATAGGACAAAGGAAACGACCGTTTAGTAGCGAGGCTAGTTTATTACTGTCGTGCTGCGCACCCGCAATACATATCATTCCTCTACACTTAATTTTGATACCTGTTAACAAAGTAGATTTACAGTGATCAGTTAATACTTAAATTTCTATTAAATATATAATACATAAAGTTTTAAATAAAACAATATTTAAGATACTTATGACTTAACAGATGTACAACATTTAATAAATTAAATTATACCCCACCACACCACAACAACAACTAGATTTAATAACACAATGAATCATTTAAAATACTTCTTATAATCTATCCCCTTCCGGGGGCGCAGTTGACGAGCGGGTGTCGGTGCCTGCTCTGGTGGTACGTCATTGGAGCGGACAGAATCGCTCTGAGGCTGTTCGACTCCGTTTTCGGAAGCTTCAGGCGAATCTGACGCTTCCGGAATCTCTGTTGAATCTCTCACGCTGTCCTGTGCCGAATAATCGCCCCATTCTTCCCCATTAACATCGTCTATTGCGTCAGTATTAACGGGTTGCTCTACTATGGTCGATGACCGAGGATTGCCTACAGAAGGTTCGGATAAAGGAGCATTCACGGGCATAGACGGTGACAAGGGTAACGACTGAAAATTGCGACTCTCAACATTATCAGTGTTATTAATTTTTAATGAATTATCGTTGCCCGTAAATTTTAACAGCTGATCTATATGTCTAATGCATGTTGCTTCAAATTTTATAATAAATATTTTGTACATTTTACTACCGACCTTCTCTTTAATTGTACCTAACTCCCAAGTTTCTTTCCGGGCACTGTACCACCGAGCCCAAACAGTATCACCTATTTCAAAAAATCTCCTACTGGTTACTAAAGGCATATTTAATTGTGTTTTTTCTATGGGTATAATTAGGTCGAGACGAGATCGTAGATTTCTACCAAACATTAATTTAGCCGGCGTTTCGCCGGTTGTACAGTGTACCGTGTTCCTGTAGTTAAATAAATATCCCCATAATACTTCATTAATTTGGTGCTGTGGTAGGTTATCTTTTAAAATACATTTTAGCATTTTTTTACAAGTCCTAACCGAATTCTCCGCTTGTCCATTACTTGGTGGATGATATATGGGGGAAGTTAAGTACTTAATACCATTGTTAGAGCAGAAGGTCTTAAATTCATTAGAGTTTATTTTAACATCGTTATCAGAAACTAAAACATTAGGTATACCGAAAGTAGAGAAAATATTTTTTAATTTTTTAATAAGCGATTGTGACGACGTTCCACTGTTCATGAATATACATTCCAGCCATTTACTAAACGAATCAACTACCACGAGGTATACCCTTTGCCCCACGGTCATGTAGTCGATATGTACGCGCTGCCATGCGCCGGCGGCGGCGGGCCACGGCGCCGGCGGATCGCGCGGCGGGGCGCAGCGTAAGCTCACGCATGTTTTGCAGGACCCGATCCAACGTTCAATGTCGCGGTCGATACCCGGCCACCACATCCTACTTCGTGCGTTACTTTTTGTTTTTATTATTCCTAGATGTGTGTCGTGTAGTTCTTTTAGCATGTGTTCCCTAAACTTTGACGGAATTACTATTCTATGTCCTCTAAATAAGCACCCTTGTTCGAACTGTAAGTCGGACTTACATTGAAAATAAGGAAGTATTGTTCGACAGCTTATTTTACGTGGCCAACCGTGATTCATGTACCTAATGACTGTTTTAAGAACCGTATCTTGTTGTGTCACTTGTGCAATATCGCGGATTGTCGTCGCCGGTGACGTCTCATTCATAAACTTAACTACGTAGTAAGAGTCTAAATCGTTATCGTGGCAATCCGATGCATTTCTACACGTTAAGGGTGAGCGAGAAAAATAATCTGCAACTACGTTTTTATCGCTCGACACATACTGGACAGTGTAATTATAGGCCGATAATATTATAGCATATCGCTGTAATCTCAGCGCTGTTGTAATCGGTATGCCTGTTTTAGTATCGAAAATAGAAACTAGAGGCCTATGGTCGGTTTTAAGAATAAACGGCTCGCTTCTACCATACAAAAATTGATGAAATTTCTTCACCCCGAATATAATGGCAGTTGCCTCTTTCTGAATTTGGCTGTAGTTACGTTCACTGGTGGTGAGTGAACGAGACGCAAATGCGAGGGGGCGTTCGTGACCGTCGTCCGATCGTTGTGATAGAACGGCGCCTAGGCCCCCGGGTCCGGCGTCCACGCACAGTACGAGTTGTGCTGTGGGCTCGAAGTGCGCTAGCACGCGTTCGGACGCCAGCTCGCGGCGCACTGCCGCCATGCTACGCCTCTGATGCTCGCCCTACTCCCATGGCGTATCGCGACGCAATAGCTCGTGAAGAGGATGGAGTAGTGAAGAAGCATTTGGTATAAAATTCCTATAATAATTGACCATGCCTAAAAATCTCTTAACTTCGGTTACGTTAGTCGGCTCGGGCGCATTAATGATAGCGTGAACTTTTTCCGAGTCAGTCTTTAAGCCGTTTTTATCTATGACATAGCCTAAATATTTTACACTATCCTTAAAGAAATCACACTTGTCTCTCTGTAGTCGCAACCCGGCGTCACTTAACCGACTTAATACTTCTTCTAATCTTTTAATGTGGGAATCACTATTGGGGCCAGTTATACATATATCATCGAGCCATACGCTGACTCCATCTATGCCAGAGAGAAGTGTCTCCATTGCCTTTTGAAAGATTGCAGGTGCATTAGATAAGCCATACACTAATCTTGTATATTTAAATAACCCTTTATGGGTATTTATTGTTGTAAGTAATTGTGATGGCTCATCTAAAACAAATTGATTATAAGCATTCTTAAGATCAATTTTACTGTATCGTTCGCCACCCCCAATTTTAGCTAATACCTCTTCGATTCGAGGTAGGGGGTATCTTTCAATCAAAAGATCTTTATTCAGCGTGACCGAGAAATCTCCTGCTATTTTTATTTTATTGTTTTCCTTCAAAACAGGTACAATAGGCGTGGCATACTCTGATTGGTCAATTGGAACTAAAATACCTAAGGTCACTAAACGGTTCAACTCTTCTTCGACTTTATCCCTAAGGGCAAAGGGTACGGTTCGTGGCTTGAAAAACTTAGGTTTTGCATTTTCCTTTAAACGTAAACATACTTTAAATTTATTGAACGAACCTAACTCATCCTGCCACAAGTTAGGGAACTTTTGCAATACATTGTTTACATTCTTATCAATACACATAGACATTATGTTAGTTGTTATAATTAAATTAAACGCGGACATAAAATCTCTACCCAGCAGGGGAGGACCCCCATTTTTAACAACATAAATTTTTATTTTGTGTTTAACTTTATTATAACAAGCTTCAACCCAGAAATATCCAAGTGGAGAGATTTTATGCCCATTATACAGACACATTTTTATATTGCTGTTATTCAAATGATAATCGGAAAACTTTTCAGCATACAGTTTTTCAGAAATTACACAGCTGCTCGAGCCTGAATCTAGTTCCATTGTTAAGTTGTGATTGCCCAAAATTAAATTTATTTCAATTGGTTTATCATCAACGTACCTTAAGTTAAAGTTCTGGCATTCTACGCAACCTGTGTCCTTGGCCTCATTAGCGCCGCATTCCTGTTCTGATTGAATGTGATAAGCACACGAGTTATTTTTATTTTTAGCACAAACTTTCTTTAAATGCCCTTTTATACTGCACTTTTGACACTTATAGCTTTTGTACCGGCATTTATCACTGTAATGATTTTTCATACCACAAACTGAACAGGAGCCAGTTTCGCGTCGCGATGTCCTAGCGCCGACACTGTCATTGGGAATCATCTGTGTACCGTCCTACGAATAACATCTATGTTGTGAATTCGCAAAGTTAAAATTAATGTTTTGGTGTAAAAAGTGGACTATAACATTTTGATCGGTTATCAATGTGTAAAATAAACATCGAGTGAACTAAATTTGCAATAGACTAATCTGTAAACATTAATTACTTATAGTCCAAAAATCAAAGTTATAAAGTGCAGCGTAATACGAATTTACCCACATTACGTTAGTTTTTACAAAGTGCAATCATCCGATCTGAACGCGTAAGCGTGTTCTAAACACGCATCACTTAAGACCTTCTTCTCGCGAACTCAACTAAACTCGCAAAACAAAGCAGCGTTCGGGGATTTTATTGCTGTGCGAATTAAACTGTGAATATTAACTATAACTCATTCCTTGTGGCCGTTACGGGTCATTTGTTGCCGTGCACTTTTTAAGTTATATTTTTGAGCATTAAAATAAAATAAAATGACTTCGTTAAACCTGGAATGGGGGTGTTGTACTGCAGGCAATGAAGATGACAATTATGTAAAATGCTCAAAATGCAAAGCAGCTTATCACTATCTATGTCTCTCTGCGGGACAGAAAAAGCTTACGCCCACTAACGTCCCTAAGGATTGGTTGTGCCCTAAATGCAGAGAATCAACACCCAAGGGGTCCAAAAATGACAACACACCAATTCGTCAGCTGCAGAATGTCACCGTGCGCCCTTCAAAAAGGCCAGCTATGTCGTCTCCACCGTGTAAACAAGACTCCCTTGTAACGCGTGAAGGAATCCGCGAAATTATGGAAGAAGTTCTATTAAAGCATATGGAGGATTTTAAGATGCATTTTTGTTCTGAATTATCTAGAGTGAAAGAAGAAGTATCTAGCATAAATAAAGCTATGAATTATATGAGCGACCAAGTAGAGGATATTTTGTTAAAATATAATGAGAGTCATGGTCTAATCAAAACGCTGCAAAAACGCGAAGGTGAAATGCAATCGAGTATTAAAAATCTCACTGCTCGCATAAACCAGCTAGAACAAAATACTCGTAGCAAGAATATTGAAATACAATGCGTTCCGGAGAAAAAATCAGAGAACTTAATAGGCATCGTAAAGCAACTTAGCAACGTAGTGGGGCTTGACCTTCAAGACGAAAACATTATCCATGTTACAAGGACAGCCAAAGTCAATCCTGAGAGTAAACGGCCACGTTCCATAATAGTAGAACTAAGTAATACAAGGGTCCGCGACTCTTTTCTGTCTGCGGTCATAAAATTCAACAGGCTGAAGAGTAACAAGAGTGACAAGCTGAATAGTACTCACCTTGGCTATTCGGGCCCCACTTCAGCAATTTTCGTCATGGAACACTTATCCCCTGTTAACAAATCACTACATGCTGCAGCCAGGCAGATTGCTAAAGAAAAGGATTATAAATACGTGTGGGTGCGAGGCGGACGTATATTCATGCGTAAAAGTGACGTTTCAAGGTACATATACATTAAAGACGATAGTGTTCTTTCTAACTTAAAATAAAGCTTCATAAGCATGTTTCAGTGGACTTAGTACGCTTAATGGATAGTTTATCTGTCTACTATCAAAATACCAGAGGTCTAAGGACCAAAACTCATATGTTTTATAGTAAATTATTATTAACAAATTATGATATCATTGTATTAAGCGAAACATGGTTGAATGAAAGTGTATTAAGCTCCGAACTATGTGATAACCGCTACGTAGTCTTTAGAAGGGATAGGCAATCATCTGGGTTCCATTTTCAAAAGGATGGAGGGGGAGTGCTTATTGCTGTTTCTAAGAAATTTTCAGCAACTCGAATGATTAATTGGGAAAGTCAATGTGAAGATCTTTGGGTATTGGTAAAGGTACCATACTTAGATTCTTCAAAACACATAGCAATTTGTGCTGTTTATCTCCCTCCTCCAGTACAACAATTTATGCTAGAACAGTACATAGAAAACTGTAACTCTATTCTTGATAAATTTGAAGGTAAAATTTGTTTGATTGGTGATTTTAATTTGGGCACTATTGATTGGAATGCAATAAACTCGGGTACAGTACAAAACCAAACTTCAAAAATAAATACAACTCTAGTAGACTTTTGTTATACTTCAAATTTTATTCAATATAACTTAATACGTAACAGTAACCAAAGAATTCTCGATCTTGTATTAACTGATTTACCAGTATGTAATGTCACATTAGCTTTAAGTAACCTCTCCGTTGTTGATCCACAACATCCTCCATTAGAAATTGAAATTGTGCTTAATACGAACCACGTACTTAGTAACAATATTAATAATAAGAAAAATAATTACTATAAAGCTAATTATGATGCTATAAATAACTGTCTTGCGGAAATAAACTGGGAGGAATTGTTTTCCAAATGCCTCACTATAGATGAAATTATGGATAAGTTCTACACCGTACTAAATAATATTATTAAGACTCATGTACCGTGTACTGAGTTTAAGCAGAACAAATATCCACCGTGGGTTAATAAATCACTCCTACGAATGCTTCGAGAAAAGAACAAATTACATCGCAGGTATAAAATATATAACAATCCTTTAGATGAGGTAGAATTTAAATTACTTAGCAAACGATGCGAAAAACTGGAACAAAACCTATATAATAATTATATTGAACTGACTGAAAAGACGCTCAACAAAAATCCCAAACACTTTTGGTCATTTATAAAATCGCGAAAAGAGGGAAGT